ATATGCTCAAAAAACTAAATGTGAGTCCGAGTCTCGAATTTGAAAAAATAACTTTTTAATTCTAGAAAAAAAAACTGCATAGAATTGTAAATATAACAGCTCAAATTAGAATAAAGCAGTTTAATAATTTAAAAAAAATGAAAGATTGCATCATGTCATGCTGTCAGCACTAGTACTTTTAAGTGCACAAGTATGACCCCGTCATACCTAAACCGTCTACAAAACCGATTATTTTGGATTCCATTTCCTTTCATGCACATATCTAGTTTCACGCCTATTACACATTTTCTCCAAGGAGATTCGATCCTATTAACATCTGCTGGACACAGCTATTAACATTAAATTATTGTTGATAGCAAGAAACCTTCCTATATTTTTTTATAAAAGTCCAAACAATACCTGCGCTATACGAAATTGTATCATGTATGCACTGTTTATTGGTGCTACTTATGTCAATGAATGAAAGAATAGAATATAAATATAACATTAGAAACCATCACAGTTTCAACAAATTTATTTTATTTATTGAAAGACAATTCCCGCATTAGGAATATATCCTGTGTCGCGGGTGGTCGCGGGGACTTTACAAACATATATGAAACGGACACAAAGAACACCCAGACTCAAAACAACAATTTGTGGATCACACAAAGTGTCGTCCCATGTGGGGATCGAACCCACACCACTCAGCGCCCGCTTAAAGGACTACGCCATCCGTGCAGTCAAAATGTCTTATGCCGATTAATAAACATCAGTGATTGTGTGTACTTTTGTTTTATGTATGAAGGTATAGATAGGTGTTAGAACAGAATGTCCTGACGAAGATTTAGTGAACTTCATACCTACATTATAAGTCTCGCGTTTTTTTACGAAACACCTAAGTATATTGAAAATAAGAGACTACAAGAATTTCCACATAGCTAACTAAAGTGGCAAACAATCATCATGTATGTTAATGGATTTCCTTTAGAAAACTAATTTAAACTACCTCGTATTTCAAACAACGGTACGGTTTACCGATTTACCTTTTTTTCTTTAAATACGTTCTTTAATATTTCGTACATGAAGGAATTGTATTTGATATTCTGTGGGGTTTTGCTTTTCAATATTTATTTAAACCAAATATTGTATTAAAATTTATGGATTCATCCATCAGGTGTTCATAGCTAAATGGGATCCATTATGCCCTAATATAATCATAGGTATGCACATCCAGCATCTCTTGTTGAGACGAATTAATGAACACGCTCTTGTGTCGATTCGTAAGACGGTGGAATTTCCACTGTCTTGATAAATTCATAAAATTACGACTAGAACATAACTGTCACAGTATAAAGTAATATATCTATCACACACCTACTATACTTACCTTGAAATAGGTACACTTACGTCTCTGAAGTTGCTAAGGCAATGTGAGATGCACAAATTGCAATGTCGTCACGTCTTATGCCTGCATGGAAATAGACACGTGAGCTCAATCCATTTCTTGTTTTATGTTCTTATGTGGATTAATGAAGATTGATTGAAATCGTCATCACAACACTTACAGTTTCCTATCTGAGTGTTTCGATTAGTGGGTTGGTAATTAAACTTTGATATCTTTGGTTTAATTTCTTTATAGAAAAGGAGTGTTCTGTGTTATAGTTTATTTTTCTTACAAATTGTATGTATCAGCAACAGCGTTGGTACTTACAACCCGCATTGCTTGAAAGTTTGGATACGCTGGATACGATACTCGCTTGTCTCCAAGGCAATTTAAAGGTAGAAATTACTTACCATTCGGTGTCATGGCCATAATTATTCACACACCGAATAATTAGATTAGAATTTCTAAAAGGAGTTTTCAACACTTATACCTAGGTAGCACACAACTAGTCTCGATGACCTAGATCTCGATCGGAGCAAATATCGTAAGGTAAGGCGGTTACTTCGACTGCACTCCTCTGAGGGTTAGACTGCCGAAGTTTAATTGTTCCAGGTTTCAACAGATCGGCACTAAGACTTACCTCTCTTCTGAGACTTATCTAGTTTTATCATTCATCTAGTTTATTAATTTATTTACCGCTTTCTGTTTATAGCCTCGCCTAGTTACAACAAATCAGGTCTTCAGAAATCGTATCAAGCATTCCTAGGAAGTTAGCCAACAAGAAAATAATTATTTCCTGATCGTATACCTACGTCGATCAGAATGAAGCAACTTAGTTATGCTATATTTTAATTACCATCTTATTTCTTAAATTATTTGCACGACATTTATTTTATGGTAAAGATATTTCAACACCGCTGTTGACTTTAATTAAATACCTTCCTATTGATAATATGAGTTAGTTTCTAAAGCTAGTTCACCGTAGGTATATCTGTTGTTCAATTCGGTTTGATTAGTGGTAAAGGTAGACAATAAATTTCCTATTGTTTATTTAATCATTAGGAAAATAATACATTATATTAGTTAGATACTGTTTTGGGTGGATATAACCGAAGTTAAATTAGAAAAAGTATTTAGTAACAATTGATCATTGAGGTTTGAGGCTTTAGGTTTTTTGCATAGGGATATAATTCTATGGCGCAAATATTAGTAAAATTCTGCTTTAGTCATGTGAAATGAAATAGCTACCTAGTATTTTTTATTTTATAAAAGGAAACTAGTTCTATAACAGGAAGTCCATCATTAGAACGTCAAGCAAACTGAGAGTCATTTAAGAATATTTCCATATTTATGGGCGACTAATTACTATGATTTTTGTTAAAAAATAATAATTTCAATTTTAATATGAGTAGGTACTATAAATCTTTAGACTAAGAATAAAGTTATTTAATTAGATTTAAGATAAGATAATAATAATCTTATTTTTCTTTCATTATCTGTTGGTATAATACTTGAGTAGAATCATTTCCTCGTGAGAAATCATGTGAACGATAGTTTATTTCACAAAAAGACATTATCTCTAAAGTTTGACTTTGGGTGACCTACGTTTTGGACCATCCTACATTTCGTCTCACCTCTATGGAATGCAGGACCCTTTGTGTGTATGCACACCTCAAAGCTGAATTCTGAAATGCTAATTTAAAAAGTAGTACAAATAAAAAATAACACAGACACGACGAAGTATTTAATTTTTTCCCCTTTCATACATTCTCTTCTAAATTCGTCATAAAATTGTGGAGAGCACATTCATGTTTAATTATACATTATACTTAACAAAACCTCCCATTTCTGGCGTGATTAACTACATTAATTTATCTGTACAATAATAATTACGAGACCTTTAATTATTACAATTATATAGAATAGGTAAGTATGGTTCTAATCGTAGTATCTACTGAAATTGTTGATTACAGTCAGAAAGCAGTTGATTTTATCTGAAAAGCAAAAGCTATTGGAGCTTGTGAACGTTTTATGAACAATTATAACATTTGGAAGTACTAAGTACGTTGCCGAATTGATCATCAAGACTGACAGAGAATCAAGAAAACAGGATATTCTTTGAGCATCAATGATATTGCTTTTCAGATAAAGTAGGAAAAACAAATATGATCCATATTTCAATATACTAGAAGATAGGTAATGCTTTAAAATATCATATTCGCTTAAATTAGTCTTCCATTCGTCTAAGTTTCAACGAGAGTTCGTTAGTTGCCTCGCTCCTCATTTACATAGAAATTCGGTTACCTAGACGAGGTCGCCATTTTGTACAAAAACACCTAATTTAATTTCACTATATAATTACGGGACAATACAGATTTAATGAATTAGATCCAAGGAGTAAACTACTAAGTTTACAATAAAACATTCATTAGGTACATAGATATAAAATAGGTAGCTAAGTAGTACAAAGATGATATCCTAAGACTGAGATGATTCCGTTCGAACACTAGATGACAACGTAAACAATTTCAATAAACCTGCGCTTACGCAGCACACGTCTCGTTCGACGTAGCGCGAGGCGTTTACGATACGATCACACTCGTGTATAAATAAATAATAAAATATTCAACTAAAACAAAAATAATAAAGTAATAGACAGGCTAAAGCGAACAGTACAATGATCAATAGAGGACAATATTAATGCACTTGCCCATATTACCTAATTAATTGATTATAACATCAACTTCAATATTTTAAAAAGTTATAACAGTAACTTAATGTATAATTCTACTGGAACCGAGTTAAAGCTTTGACAGAAATCCATAATTTAAATAACAAAATTTACGAATTATGAGATAAGAAATTAAACAGTAATAAATATTTGATCATAATGTGATTTCTATGTTTGCTTATGTATATGTATGCGATGCGTCGATGGTAGAGGTACCGCTACACGAGGCAGTAAGTGGTACGAAGGCTGCGGCTTGTGGCACACTGGGAGCAAGTACGTCGCGTCGCCCACATATATCTATAACTGCCACCAAAGCAACCCGAGTCGATCAACAATTTGGTAACGAAAATAAAAGTTAACTGATTAAGACTAATCCACCCTCCGAACAGCAATACGAATACAACAATAAGCAGTCTCACAAAATATTTTACATTTTTTTTTCAATAAACTATCTAGAAACTATAATTCTGCGGTGCCGTCTTTAATATTTCGTAATTCGTACTTAAATAAATTTCAAATACATAATCAGCGCTATTACTAGACATTATTAATATCAGGAATCGTTATCTACTCATGTATATACTTAGTCTCGTTAAAATTACAGAACATAATTTCGTAATTAATACTATACACAAATCGACAACACAATATTTTATCTTAGTGCGAGATTCTCTGGGACCGAGGCGCGCCCGAAACTGCAAAGCGTCCTCATTACGTACTATACGGTATAGCGAACATTTGTCCCTTTAGTCCTTCGTCCATGAGCGGACGTGAGCATCGCCCTCTCCGAACATTAAGTACGACCACATTCCACACACTTGTCCTTTGGAACTTTTCCCTCCCGAATGGTGCTTAGCTTGCTATACCGTGGTGAACGGAGTAAGTCCCAGAGAAAGGCGCGGGTCACTGATGATGTTTGGGCGGCGGTGCGTGGTGCAGCGCCACGTGGTGCGGCGCGTGGTGGTGTCCGCCGTGGTGGTTGTGGTTGTTCGCATTCGAGTTGTTATTATTGTTCTGCGCCGCTTGCGCCGCCTGCCGCTGCGAATTCTTCTTGTTCTTCATTCGTCTGTTCTGGAACCATATTTTGACCTGTCTCTCTGTAAGGTTCAAGTTTCGTGCCAATTCCCATCTCTTCTGCTTTGACACGTAAGCGTTGAAGAGGAATTCCTTCTCTAGTTCTAGAGTTTGGAACTTAGAGTAGGGTTTGCGTTTTTTGCGAACAGTGACTTGGCCGGTCCAATCGAGTGGATTAGAAGATCCGCAACCCACTCCCACTCCGACTGACATCGATAAGGAACCTGCACAAACAAGAGGCATGTTTCATTTGGAACGGGTGTTTGATAAATATAATAAGATATTTAGAAGGACATTTATAATATGTTGTAAAAACAGTTGTTATAACCTAATCAAAATGATGTCTGACACGAAAAATATCTGTTGGCACGACTGCACTCGATTACAAATAACATCAAGATGAGATTTGGTTCGTAAATTTATATGTTTAATTCAATAACTTTCTTCGAAGAACAGATCGCATTCCGGCAAAACATTTAAATTGCTTCCTTGAGCGTAGGTTCTTCGATCGGCTATCCGTTAATTGTATCGGCAGAATGCATTACAAGTGCACCGGTTGAGCGTTTCGCTTTTAACTAGCTATTTCCATGCTGCGTTCATAGAAACAATTGTGGGCCGGCACGGCACGTTAGAAGTTAACACATAGCGCGATTTATGCGACCGGTCCTTTTGATGAGATCACCCGCAATAAACTTTGTATGCGATCTGCGACCTTCTCAATACTCGGTGCGTGCAACACACTGCACCATTTCCTATTATTCGAAACGGTACACGTGACACGAGCGTTGCGAAATACGAGTAGATGCCTCATTGTCTAGCGGATGGATATGTGCTAGCCAGGTGCCGCAAGCACTCATTCTCACCTCGAAGCTAATAGTGTATCGTTTTGTTTCTACATACTTTTGTGAACAACAATTCTTGCCTCAATTATATTTAAAGGTTCCCGCAATATTCTACCTACAATACATCTCCAGTAAAAATGTTGACATATTGATTTTATGTTGCGTTAGAATTTACAAGAAAATAGATTTTTTTGTTTTATTGCGATGTAGTTTAAACGATATAAACACGTGTTCTTAATAGAAATTGTTCATGTTGAAATAATCTTTGATATGAATTGAAACGATTCAGCGTTATCGGACATTGCATACATTGTAAATATGGTTATTGACACAGTCATACTACTACGTGTATTACAGTGCAATAAAATGGTTTTTTATACATATAAGTCAAAATATTGTGTTAGGAAGAGTTAGATGCATTTTAAAATAAAAACCGTTTTTCCATCAGTGAGGCTTTTATCGAGACGATTATCTATTCATAAAACTGCCCTACCACAACTATAGCTCAGTTCCGTTACAGTAGACTTACAGCTTGAATATTGATTTAATGGCCACTAATGTATTGTTAAACTGGTCGTAGCTCGTATAAATTAGAGGGCTACCGTAAACTATAAAGTTGTTCACACATTAATGTTAGTTCACACCCGATATTTATGGCTAATTTCAATATTTATCATGAAAATAAAACAATAAAATCCTATCTAATGAGCCAACAGCAAGAGTATCAAAGTGGTTTATATGGTAGCAATAAATGGTAACAACTTAACAGGCGGTAGATAACTATAAAAGGTAACCAATCAATTATTGTTTTCACTGTGGGCCAATAAAATTGATTTACATGAGACAAAGATTTGTACTGAAGAATTTTAATAGCCGTGGAACCCAAGATATAGTTACAAACTAGATATGGTACAGTTCACTTACGAATTTACGCTATAAGTGGATTAATACATAACATAGTCCCATTAAAATATTTTATTTATTATTGAACAAAGGCATTTAATGTTTCAGTGAGTGGGCTCGGTCTTCCCAGCAACAGTCATGTTATCAAATTTTAGTTGACAAAAATTGGGTATGGAATTTATTTTAAGATACCTATCAAACATTTTTGTAAATAAAAGAAAGTGAGGTGTAATTTTAAGTCATTAGCTTTAATGTCAGTGCAAATATATAGGCGAAAGTAAAACCAAATATAAGTTTTTATATAGAAGCATTAACAACTATCCTTTTTTTTTTAACGTGTGGAAATTAACAACTATCCTGTCTTTAGCTTTCATACGATATTAGTGTATGAGATATGAGTTCAATTCTTATTGCGAAAAATTTAGTCCTTTAGGTTCTTTTTTTGCTGAATGCAGCTTTCTTCTCTTTGGCTTTTCAAATACAGATGTCTGAGTTCCGAAGAAAATTAGCATATTTTGGCAATTTATAAATTCGTAACTTAATAGCAGTTATTTAAATCGAATAATATGGAAAGTTGGTAACCGAAATACCGGTTCCACAAAAAAATAAAATCCTCCGCACCCGTCCGAAACAAAGCAAGAGGTCGCTTATGCCTTCCAGCTTATACCTTACTCTGTGGAACAAACCGCAATTGTTTAAAGAGAACATAATGACAAGTCGAGTTGTCAATTATGAGGGAATAGGTACCGATCAGTAGCAATAAAAGTGCGGGTTCTCTTCGACCATAAAAGTTTACCTACCTACCCGACCGCGGGCTTTGTCTGTTTCGTGTACCAACATTACATGCCAATTTGCCACGGCGACCTGGTTGCTGCTACAAGGGAATAGAGTCGAAAATATGTTCCGTATTTTGTTAAGTTGCCGAGAAGCTGTCTTCGACGTATGGTTGAAAGGAATTTCTCAAACGCTGAGACGTTTAATTCCAATATGACCAAAAGTGGTCGTATTTTATAAATGTAAATTAATACGACTTTTGCATGACAAATATAGAAGTATGCAATCAATGATTGATGCCTCCGGTGTCTGCGAGGCGAGAAAGCGGAACGTACAGAGCTCACTAACGGAGCCTTTCCACAAATCGTTTACTAAGCCGTAAATGCACAAATCAAAGTCAATGTCAACCTCAGGTGGGCCGTAAACACACAATCATAAAGTGACGTGAACACTCGTATAACTTTTTCAACAATTGTTTCCTTTTAATGGCCCATTATATGCGCGTTTTACGCAAAATTATGTCAAGTTACACCTCTGCCGTAACAGAGGCGCGATAAACCCATCTTTATGGTTAGGCGGCGATCGAAAGCGAACTAGCGGCGAACGTTTATGAATGGAGAATTTTTTATTGCTCTCATATTGACATGGCGCTTGTAGTTTAGTAATTACTACTTACTAGCGCGATTTGGGGAAGAAACCAGTATTATTGCATAGGTGTGACGTAGCCGTGGTTTTATGATTCATAAAAGTGATATGTATCTACAAGAGCGCATATGCAGCGTGCGGGTCGGCAGCTGTACCACCAGTTCCACAGTTTTTTATCTTCTCATCAACCTGTAATGTGTTTATTGTTGCAATATTTGGTTTACTGCCACTACTCAAAGATTTTTGTTTATTGTCTTAACGCTCAGGTATCGTGTTTATTTATTAGTGATACATTTTTATTGGTGCTTTATTTTACGTAAACTTTAATTTATTGTCGGTTGTATAGCGCCGTTTTACATCGCCTATAAAAAGGCGCTTATGGTCCATTTTTAAACATTAGTAGCACGTGTTTCGTTCATTCATCAAATTTATGGTGGTTTGTGGGAAAATATTTTGGTTTGAGAGATCGCCTGCCTTCTGAAGGTGGCCCTTAAGATTTTGCTGCGAACGCTCAGCCAGTGTTTATTTGGCTTACAGTCGATGTTATCGCCGTTTTAAGTACCTTGATTGGAAACGCTGTAGTGAATTTTATATCTTCGTACCTTACCTGTTGCTCCCTTTTGAACCCATTTGTGCGTGTTTCATGATGTGTTCTTTTCTTAGACGAGGTAATAAGTACCTAAGTAACAAGGACCTTATTTTCGTTTGCTAACATGTTTTTGGTGACGATAAACGTGCTAGAAGGATTATTCAATAAACAAATTTTGTTCGGCCGATAAAATCATTTGCGAGCCTTACATTCGATTCCATACATACATCTATCAGTGTGTAGTATCGTGCAGTCGTGCCAATCAGCTGTCTTCGATTAGAGAAAAGAATGCGGATCAGACGCGGTGAGTGTGTGCCCGCTTGAGACAGGCACCCCCACATCGGTGCTCTGGCCGTTGTGGATGTGTGCGCCACGCACACATGCATATGCCCGCCTCGCTGTGTGCGCTCCGCTCAGCGCCACCTAGCGCCCAGCGGAGCGCAGCCCGCGGGTCAAGGTTGACAAACTCATAATAAATTATTTACAAATCAACTTATCAGTTTCAGTTTGTTGCGATTTATAACAAACTTTGATTGTAAACTGTTAGAACTGACCGAGGTAGTTCCGACACTCCCAGCTCACGTTTAAGTATATTGAACTTATATTAGTATTTGTTTATAAATTCCGTAAAATGTTTGGTTCAACTGTGTTTGGTTCTAGTCTCGAGCAACCGATAAGTTCTAAAGATTACAAACAGCGATGCAGCGACCGGACGTCAAAAAAACGTGAGCTCTGAGTTCGTGATAAACATAAAATGAGTAATAAGGTGTTACTAACCGGGCAGAGAGCCTGGAGGCGGGTAGGGGGCGCTGGACACTGACTCGGGCGCGTAATTTCGTAGGCCGTATGCTTCGTGGGAGAAACTGGACGCTTCGGAGACAGCCGTTCGACGCTCCTCTCCTCCGACGTAGGACAAGGGCTGCTCCCCACGTGGCGTACCATAAGGGTAGTTCCAACAGTGCGGCTGTGTGAAACTTTGGTGACAACCACCATCAGCGTAGGGCTTGTACTCGCCACTGCTAGCCGGCCAGAAGGGGAGCGTAGACTTGCGTTCCCTCTCGACTGGCAGGTTGTAATAGGTCGGTGCGGTGGGGTATTGATGGTCGAAGGAACCGGGTGCATCTGGAGGGTATCCCCAAGGTTGCTGCGCATGCCGGATGACCCCAGGCTCGGGATCGTAGCGCTTGGCCGGTATGTGCAGGGGCGGTTGTGGAGGGTTGGAACCAACTGAAGCTGGCGAGGCGCTGGAAGCTGATGGCGGTGCGGCAGCTGGCGCAGCTGGTGGAGATCCGCCGGGCGGCGACGCGTGCGCTTCTTCATACAGCGCGCCGCCGACCCCGTTCATCATGGTCCACCAGGCCGGCCCGGTGGAGTGGCCGGATGCGGGCGCTGGCGACGCGGCAGCCGCGTCGCAGGGCGCGCCGAGGCCCCCGACATGGTTGTCAGGGTACAGGGTGGCGGCCGGGCAAGCCACGGGGGATCGGGACAGTCACCAGCCGGTTCACGCGCGTTGCGGGCACATTGCACCGCGCACACACGCGTCCCACACACAGCAGCAGCACATGAAAATCAAAACGCGATCCCGATTTAGCCAGCTACCGGACGAAAGTTGACCGCTACGTTAACTGTCCAAAAAAACTATAAAGCTCCGTTTCGTCGGAACTTTTAGAAACTTATTGAAGAGTCTATCGAACAATCACTGATATGATAAGTTCTCTGTAACCTCGAAAAAAATTAAGTCCATTTATGAATAAAGAAACTGTTTAGTCTATTTTTTTTCAAGTTTATAATAAACAATTCACAGTTCTTCTGCAGGGGTCGTCACGATATTTTAAGTAAATCGGTGACGCAACAGTTTTCTTATTTTGTACAGTGGACGTGAGGTCGGCTAGGTTGTTGTCGCGAGCGTGTCGTGTTTGTAGCGCTTTGAGCGGCGAGTACGCGAGGCGCGCGGTCTGCAGCGCGGTCGAGCGCGGAGTGGCGGCGGCGTGTGCCAGTGTGACGGCGCACACAGACGCGCACTGACACTGCCGCCATCTACCAGCGGGCAGCGGAACTAAACGTCTACTCTACATACGAGCCCGTAGGCGGGCGGCCTGGCGAGGCGCCCACTTTGTGCTCCTACAGACTCACCTTTTTTCTACTTTGATTTTTCATCATTTTACCATAACATCATTTTTTTAAATATTTACATTAAATTCACTAGTTTTCTTTAATTTAAAGTTAATTTTATAAAGTAACAAGTTAGAAAAAGTATTTAATATAACATTACCTACTACGCTGAGTATTTTTAAACGTGGACGTGGATCTGAAAGGGTTATAGAGGACGACGGCGCGGGTGCGTAGTAAAGCGATTAATGGAGGCAAAATAGCCATAAACTGCCGTTTAACCAAACTGCAAGCGTTACTCGACCATCGCCGAGTTGCCACCAATAAAAAACGCGAGACTTTATGACGGCAACTCACTTACATTTTATTGTGAGTATAAACTTAATTTTATCGTCTGTTAATTTCACCACAAATAATGTTAGGCACCTACTAGATTAAATTATATAATTATTCTATTTTATTGCTATTGTCAATGGCAAGGCCGCGGTCTAATGCCTCATATTCAGTAGCTTATTAGAGTTCACTGACTTGTTGTAAAGTCATTTTATATCTTATGCACTTGTCTGTTTTGATTGATAAACTATTTTATTGTCTCTACAATATGTACTTTACACTTCTACATTCACTCTTACATACAGTACTAGGTATCTCAGTTACAACATTTTGATTAATTAACGTACGAATTCAAAATTAAAAACGACTCACATTTTTAATACTTGATACTAACCATTTTCGTATCTCAGTAAGTCTTGGATCTAGTAATCGACACACCCTCTTGCCACCCTTTGTACGAACAATACATGGTAGAGCCAATAAATTTGCTCACAATATTTCTCTACACGCTACACGTTATGTTTACACAAGACACGGCTATAAAATATATCAGCCGAACAATGCTAAAACATACACCAAGTAATGTCGACTCTTGTTAACTTGACTCTACATGCGTTATGGTAATACTAACCGAATTGTCAAAATATAATAAGGAGGTGAGCGATGGTCGTACTGACTGCGATTAGCGATTTTATAATGTAAAATCTGAAGGTACGTTACTGAAGATAAAATAGAAATATTTTATTTTTATAAAATACTTACAATTAACAAAATGAAGTAAATATTTGACTAAAGTATGTTCTTTTAATTTAATAGGTTGTTTAATGTTCCTAAAAATGTTTTATGAAGTTTTTATTTTTATTTTCATGCATTGGTTTCCTGGAAGTGGTTGTTTTAGGGATGGAACTTTAACTCATATCCAATTTATTTCTTACTAATTTCCCACAAGTTTGGTGTAACGAGCTTCAGCGTCATTTATAAAAACGTTTATATTTATTTATACTTTAATTTTTAATAAAAGAGAGATCTAGTGTTCCTAATGATTAAATGAATTATGGTCCAATTTCGACATCTAGGCGATCATATTTTCCATAAAAAAACATGTTAACCTAATGTAGGTAATTTTTATAAAAGAAAATGTAACTTCGCTTAACTCGATCCCCGCTCTCAGTCACACCGAAGCAATAGAGAAACACATTAATTTCCCACACTTAGCCTCAAGCGTATAATTACAAAAGGTAGGGCACAATGAAAGCACGAACTATAAATTCGCGACACTTTGTGGACGTGTCAACAAAACTAATAACATGGATTATTTGTATAAAAATTCTATAGAGAAAAGATTTATATGTACACCTTAATACATGTATTGTATTTGGTGTATTTACATTGTGTAACGATGTTAATGTGAACTATATCGGTGCCTTGTGAGGAACACGATGACAGGAATCAGATGTAATATTACTATAATATTATGTTAGCTATTGTATAGGTGGTATACCTAGGTATGTAGAGACAATACTTTCGAAAACAATTTTAATATTAATATAAAAATTTAATACGAATTTATCTAATGTTGTAAGTGCTGGAGAAAAAGAGGTTGTTTTTTTTTGTTAATAATTGCGTAGAGAGTCCTTGCTAGATAGTTTGACCACGGCTGCAAGAAGTTTCAGGATTGCTTTTGTACAATTTCTAAGATTTATATTTAATTGGGTTATTTAACGACAACATCTAATATCAACATTTTTACAGTCAAGTAATCTATGTACTTATATGCCATTAAGGTGGCAGACAAATATGTGTGATGTTGAAGAATTTTCTCAAAGCCATGAAATATGTCAAGTTATCTAGCTTATTCAAAATTACGTCACTCTCAATGCTGTTGTGTTAAATTACCTTTTACCTTTATTTAATAGAAGTTGATGTGAGGTCTCGGTATTCACTATCTTGTAGCATACCTACAGAATCAACATATCAATAGCCTTAGATACCGTTTTGTATATAAGTGAACGCATGTGCTACGTTGCCATTCTGTGCATATCCTACCCACGTAGGTACCTATATGTAGTTATCAGTAAACCATGCCACACTAGATAAACAGCTATATATAATATTTAACAAAAGGAGCCTTTATGTAGCTACGGGCTATAAGTAACATTATCTCCGGGTAGGTCGCAGCACAAACAGGCTCGCGTTGAATGACAGAAACAAACATAGGAACAAGTGCGTCTTGCTCGAGCCCGTCTATAAATATTTACGTTAAGAAACTCTCCAGGCCAATAGTCGGCCATACTGAGTTCGTAAATAAAAGTACGCCTTTCTTATCTCGGCATATGCGCGAGAGTTGCGCAAACCTATTTCAATTGGGCTATGAATAAATAATGTTTAGGTAGTCGAAGTATCGACTCGATTTGATATTTCTCGTATATTTTAAATAAAATTTTGATAACAAATAGAATTTTCTGTAACATGATGTAGTTTTTATCTCGTTTTGCTGCAAGAGAATTGAAATCTTTTGTTGGCAATATGTAAATTATACCCACTCTACATTGAGAACACTGATAGTTGTCTTGCTCATAAGGTTTTACATGCTCATTGTAAATCGATGAATCTGCTAGGAAATTTCCCTTTGCAGCACCAACTTTCACAACGTGTTAGGCTCAAATTTTCTAACCCTAAATGTACTTTAGGTCCTACTAAGCAATTCAATTTCATGTGAGACTCAACGTTACGTAACTTAATTTGATTCTTAGAATTAGTGCAGCAACTTTTAAAACTAATATTAGTAAAAAAGTTTATGATAACTGGCCTTCCTTTTTCATAGTCTTGAATTTGTTGTGATCATAATTCACTTATACCATTAACATTATAAGTCTACGCACTCGTAATAAAAACACAACAGTAGTTATAGAGGTACGTATACGCATAAGATGTCAGCACATTATACATATAAGCTAACGGTTCCCGTTGCAGGGACATAAAATAGACTGTAAAGAAGGCTATAATGCCTGTCCCAAATGAAAAACTCGTCTGCTCTCGACTTTCTCTGAATAACAGTTTAAATTACCTGTGAGGCTGTCCGATACCGTTCAGCGCAAATTAAACTCATTAACGATCGACTGGTTAGGAATAAAAAAATATGAAATGGACTTATTTTTTTCGTAAAGTTAAAGAGTGATTTGTTTAAGAATTTCACATTGGCTTTTGTAATTAACATAACCTACATTGACTACGTCAAACAAAATTTATTTAAATGTATGCCAGTATAATGTTTTACACAAAATTAATATCATTTACAAATTTCAAAATTTAAATTTGTTGGTAATCTCTAAAGAAAAAATATGAAATATAAATAAAAGTATAAAATGACGTTGTTTGACAATTTCAAATGACCTTCGCGAATTGTTCAAATCATTGAAACATAACAACACTGCCTTACAAGCACTTAATATTGCACCTATAATACACAAAAATAAATCCTGAATGCCCACTATGCATGACTGTTCTTAAGAAAATTTAGCCTCTTCACAAATGTTTGAGAGACAAGTTTATTTACATAAACTGAACTGTGATCTTGAATATTTTTTTTATGATAGAGGGGCAAACGAGCGGACGGGTCACCTGATGGCAAGTAGGCACCTAACTCCTAAGTAGCCTTGGAGGAAGGAGTACTTTTTTTCTTGATACTGTCCTATAAATATTGATAAATATTTATAATGTCGATTTCGATTTTCGATTATCGTATTTACATTTGTGTTGCATAAGGTCAGTTTCTACAAAGATATTAAAAATCTATTCAAAGAGAAATGATGATTTGAACAATACTTTATATTTAAAATACATAAAAATAAACAGAAAACCTATTTCTTCAACGAGAAATATATACCCATCAGTGACTGTTCGATTAAGGATTTCATTGATTCTATGTATATGCACCTAATTAGTACACATTGATAGTTATACTCAGTTAACTTAAGAGATAATAAATATAAAATAGCAATGGAAGACTCCATTTGACTTAGAGGTATCATGACCACCAGTACAATGGACACTGAATTTATGCAGCTTATACTCGTACAAGTGGTCAAGATATTTACGTATATATATATATGAATTAGGTATATTTAAAATTCTGTAGTCTATAACAGAGTACTGTTACTCGTATAACATATCTACCTACGCCTGTTAGTTCTCAAGGCAATGTAATCCCATACTTATACATTTTAATAAATTCTGCTTTCCGCTACTTATTACATTAAAAATGGACATTCTATAAAAGTGTATAAATGTGTATGTCCTTAAAAATGTCACCAAGCACCGAACAACATGCACATAAACTAAACATAAACCATTGGCAGGCAATACCACGTCGGATTAAACATGAAATATACACACAAATTTACATTTTAATATATAAAAAATATAATATTCACCTTGTCGTAAACTCGCTAGCGACGTTTGCGTAAAAGGACAGGGTAACCTGCGAACAAATTATAAAATTATGTAGGTATGTTATAGTCTATGATATATAGGCACATAATTATACGCTAACAGACTATTCAGATGTATCCGATCGATAAATAGTAAAACCTTTTCTGTCGAACACAAATTTGTGTTTATTAATTCGTTAATTACAAAAGAATACCGGGAATATATTATTTAAAAATGACGTGTGTAGACATTTATTGCTTCTATTACTATTCTCGTAGATGCCGTGAGAGAAGGCGGTATCGGTGTGAAAGTCTTGGAAGAAAACTTTATGGTTTCGAAAAAAACTGTTAAAAGTTTATGCTTGAATAATATTCAGTCAGGTGAGGCGGTTATTTGAAAATGAAGAGTTTAATTTACGGGGTAGGTATGTCATATTGCACTGTTTTATTTATTTTGTTATGATAAATAACATTGACCAACGAGATGATAAGGACTTATAACTAAGATATACTTGCAAAAATACACAAGTAGGTATTTAATTTAAAAAATAAGAAAAGTTGATTTGTTAGCGTTGCGTGGGACTAACTATGACTGTCTTCCAGCATGAATGCAACATCATACAGAGCACTGCAAATAGCTATTCAGCAATAATATTGTACAAAATTTGGATGTCAATGGATTCTATATCCGTAGTATTAAAACAAAAATTAGTAAAAAGCCGCGTGGTTTGACTTAAAATAAATATTTATTTTTAGTTAAAATCATCCCGATTCCAAAGGTATTGGTATAAGGTAAAATCTACATAGCTTAATTCTTTTAAGACTTCTTCGGTAGCAGAATTCAAATTGTTCTACGTTCTCAAGAGAAGTAAAAGAAAATATATGTGCGACATAAGGGCCAATTACGAAGAAAGTTTGTATGAGGAGGTTTCATTAGGACGTGACTAACGATCCACCGCGTGTGGAACTACGCATTAAATCATCGTTGCACATTACGCGTCACCCGCGAACATTACTCAGTTTATTTTTAAAGAGGCCGCACTCCTCCACCCACAAACATCCCATTGACAAGTCCTACAGTAACAATTTTATTTCCTAGCTCAAAGCCGATACGAATATAAATAAATCCTTTTCTAAGTCATTCGATACGGCGGTAAGTCACGAAGTTTACATAAAATAGGTGATTTGCGCCGAATGCCACGGTTATTTTTTTTCTGATTTTCGTTGGGGGTGCTACCCTATATTTATGGGCGAAAAAAAATCATGTTTACAAGCCTTTTTTAGGTACCGATTGCGTATGCGTGTGGAGATCGTAAAATGTTTTGTGTTACCTAACAATTAAGACGTGATGATTGATTTTAAACAGATCTCCTTTGAAAAACTACTTAGATATATACCTATAAAATGTAGAACAGGTTTCGCTTTCGCTATTATCCTGCATTATGTGAAAAGCTATCAGTGTGCCTGTACCTGCATTATTTTATAGTTGTGATTAATTCGTCCGTTGTTTGATATTCACTTCTATTACGCACATAAAATAGCTACCAGAGATTAGTGGTAAGTCCGATACTAATTGGAAAACTTTAGACCCATCTGCGTTGAAACTTGGTCGATGTTCATCAAAGTTTATACTCATTCCGCTCGGACTAAACTTTGGCATCCGTAATCGAGGCGAGGGTTTAGTTAAACGTGTTATTTTATTTTTCGTAAAGTACGAGTAAATAGAGCACCAGAACTATGGCGGAGGGCACTCGACTTGACGTTTACGACTCAATCCCAAAACATAGGCAGGCGGCTGGCCAAACGGGGTACGACTTATACTAATATAGTTAGACCTTCCACACTCCCCGTAGCGCGGTGTAATGTCACACAGTGTATAGCACCCGGATGTGAGTTTAGAGTTCTTTTCGGACTGGTAGGCAAAGTATTTCAATGGCCGGAGTGTCAGGACGAGTTTGGCCGTGTATTACAAGCTGTCAGCTAGCGTTATCTGCACCACAAGTATATGTTATCGGAATGTGTGTCCCACGGTTGGTTGGCCAGACGAATACTTTAGAACAGAACTGTTTATGCTTTGGCGTTTAATAATAAAACTGTCGTCGGTTGAGATCTCAATAAGACCGACACAAAGCTGTCGATGAAAGACATTTTAAAGTTGATTTATATTTTTGTAATAGCCAAGCACGCTATGAGTAGTATACAGATATTACTGTACCCCGTAGCGTATGTGAGTATATAAATTACATTTAATGTTAATTTAAAGCGTACAAGAAATGAAATAGATTAGCGCTATGATTTTACATAGATTAAATATATTTTAATTAAACATTTATGAAGTGTTTTTTAAGTTATTTTGTCTTTTTCTCTTGTACAACAACACATAACAGTGCTTTTTGCAGACGAAAGGTATGCTACGTTTTCTGTATCCCTGGTAATGTCTGTCTGTCTGTCTATATTAACATAGACATGATATTATGATAATCTGTTCTACTGAACTAAGGCGTGAAACAAACAAAAAAAAATCAATATTAAATTTATAATATTACTTAAGATATATATGCTATATTATATTAGTTTCTTTAAGTTTAACAAGGTTTCTACTCGTAGAACAACTGCCCAAAGGCATTATAGTACCATATTCAGGAATATGATACTCCACTTAAGATTTTACTATGTACCTAAGTATGTTAAAAGAATTGATATGTACAACCTGAAATATTAAAACTTTTGAGTAATGTACATATTTATGTTTTTGTAGATATATTTAAATTGATAAAATCAAAAACACTAATGCAAATGTAATAAAAGTGTGCCTGTGATAATCTCAAATATTTATCATCGTTTGGGAAGTTAGGCTAAATAAAAAATTCTGCTTATGTAACATACCTAATAGGATTCCGTGTTTTTGAAGAAGTATATCTGAAGTTAAAATACAATGTTTAAAAATTAAATCATCTTTAGATTTAGGTAAATATATATACAAATGATTACAAACACAGTCTGTAATTTACCTGCAATATATTTCATTTAAGACAATCCAGATCCAAAGATCCTTTAAGACAATCGCAACAACATTGTAGGTACGGGAGATTGGGTGTAACGTAATCGTGTTCTAAATAGTTTTGTCGATTACACATTACTCATATCATGCTCGTTTCAACGATTAAATATAATTTTGAGCCCACATTTAGGTAAAGAAAGTAAGTTCAATATATCTCTGAAAAGAACTTAAGTATTTTATAAATCTCTACTTATACTCGTATATAGAAACTATAAAACAAAGAGTCAGTACCGTTAGCCAGACTTCTTCGTGGTCTCTATCTAATCTAGGACCGATTTAGTATCGATTAAATGTATTGAATACGGTAATAAATGGATGATGTGGGAACATGTTGAACAGCCTTTACTGTTCAAAATTATTACCTGATTCGCTATCAGAGACGATGATGGCAGACTTGGCCGATATTTGTATTGCATACTTAGATATTGTTTTATTTATAAAAGAACTTCAAAGAATTAACTCTCTGTATGAGAAAACTAATCAACATTAGTTAAGTCAGAATAAATTTTTAAATAAATTACACCTAAATCTACTTCAAAATAAACATAAATATGTTTCTAGTATCAACGCCATAACATATTTACAATAACAAGATCGCGAGGGTGTAGGAGGAGGTCCGAGCAGTTAATGGTGCGAAAACTGACTGGATCATATCCCTGGGTTTACGACTCGAGAGTAAACGCCGATTCATTTGCAATTCTAACTACGACTTAGATGTGAGTCGGCAGTTGCCTTGCCGACATCAAAACGCGCCTGTCTTCTCTCTGATTCGGTATTATGAATGTTATTAGCCGTGTATTATAACAATAAACGTCAGAACCATAGGCACATAGATACGCTTGACTTTCTTTACGGCAATGCGTTGATCAGAGGTTTATAGCTTAAACTACAGTTGGTAATCTGAATGAAGAGTTAGGAGAAATCTCATGTTTTGTTTGCAAATTCTTACGTAAATAAGTAGACAATTTAACTATTTTCTTGTAAGTACGGTCATTACGTCGGTAAGTAATAAGTCGGTATAAAATTAAATAGGTAGGTATTTATTGATTTGACTTTCAATTTTCGTAATCGCATCACTTTACAACAAAGTAGCTGTATTAGACGTTTGAGGGTTTCAAGATTACAAAATAATATACCAGAAACTATCTATTTAGTTATTTCTGTTTTTCTATCTATTTATTATTATTATTATTTCTATTATTTCTAACAATTTATTTAGATTTATATGATGTATTTTAAATATAATAGCAACTCAAACTTGTAAAATTATCTGTCATATGGTACAAGTAAAAACAATATTAAAAACTAATTTAACTTAAGAACTTAAATACCAAACACCGACACACCATCTGGTGTTCTTCAACCTATGACATAAGGATGTCCTTCAGAACTAAGTTGTTTTTCGTGCTTAAGTTACAAAGCGTCGAATTCTGTCACACAATTAACGACAAACACGTATGAAATGGTCGTATCTTAAACGAGTGTAGCTTTCGTCATCGTTCACAGAACAATACAATTTTCCATGCCAGTTTCTACGCTTCTAGAGGACATTATACCTACATATATATGTTATTGCCTATGTGTTAGTGGGCATGGAGTCGAAAAGTTGGTGGTCCATGTGAATTACAATTCTAATCACGCTCGCAGGGCGATGTTATCTTCAAGGACACATATTGTGATTCTTAATCGTACCCCGCGCCGGAATAGATCGCCCGCCCGATATCGTCCGATCAATGTATTAGAATATCCATGAGGTCTCTACGCAGCGTTTGCGTGAAACGATTTTCATGTGGCGAACAAATTCTGTTAGGGAACTTTACTGTTTGCAATACCTATGTAAATTTATCGGTTAGAGCAGTCCAACGAGCTAAAATAAATTTGGTTTGACTACAGAATAGAATATGTTTAAAGGTTTTTAGTAGAGTTTTATGAAGCTTAGATACGAGAAGTGCTGCGATTTAGAAAAAAGAGCCACCATTATTATCTTAGCTTGTTATATTATTTCTAAATATCTGATCAGTTGCGCTACAACATTAATATTAAATACAACCTTCCAAAGCCCTAGGTTGCACAAACAATGTAGCAACTGATGAGATAGAACTACACACGCAAGATAATTCACAGCGCTTTGAAGGGAAATGAGTTGCGCCAATCCATAGTAAACTTGTGGACTTCAAGTTTATGTTGTAGATTCATGTCAGTATGCGTACATTATCCAGACACTTCAATTAAGACGTTACCTATTTGATGGATTCTAATATAGCAGGCAAATCCCCTACTATTACTACAACAACGATACGATAACGATCGGTGCACGAAAAGGATATTGGATATTGAAATCCATTCTAAAAGACAAGCTATTGTAATTTTTCAAAATACATCCATTTATGTGATATCTCTATATAAAAACAACTCACAAACGACTTCAGCATTTTTCTCACACTTTATATTTAGCTAAGTACTTTGCAACTACTTTTAGGCACTCGAGCAGGTACATCAAAAGCGCTTTGCCTGTCAAGGTCAGCTTAGCTTATACTTGTAAACCACAAAGACGTAACTTCTAACATCTTATTACGTTAAAAGAACCTTGAAAATAAAATGACTAAAGTACAAAGTACAAGTAGTAAAGTACAAATTCTAACTCACCGATTGTAAGAAGAAGGGAAGGAATTTTTGGCTCTTTAAATAATAACCAGTAGACCAAAACCTCCTTTCTAAGGGGAGGCCTATGTCCAGCAGTGGACTATTAAAGGCTGTTGATGATGATGATGATGATGATGAAATAATAACATAACTAAAGCCTTAAATTTATTCCTCATTTACTCGTAAGTACCTAATTCTTTGAGTGCTTTGAAAGCAATGTCATTGTTACCTACTGGTTTATTATAAATTGCTCGACCTGATATCGTAAATAATTTCTTTCTGGTGAGCCATAATATTTAAGATGTTATAAATTTTCTCACGGGCTTTTAATATTTTTATTGGTTATCAAATGTATTCCTTTCCTTTGTAAATATTTATCAAACAAGTGGGCTTAATTCTCCTCTAAAGTAGACGTAAGCTTAAATGAAAGAGTTTCTGCTAGAGTTTTTAGACCAAAACCATAAGTGTACCTCGATAAGAACCGGAGATATGGGCAAAGTAAAAATCGAGTTTGAGTAAAACTTTAGAAAAGTGATTCATGATACATGTTGATAAACATGTTTTTATTATTTTTTTGTAGTTTCGTTGCATTTTCGAACGAATAAACTTCATATTTTTAACAGTAGGTTATAGGCACCGTGTGTAAATAGACTAGTATCATCGCTTTTTCTTCTTTTTCAACCTTTAATTGTATCCGAATTCTTAATAAATACCTAAAATATCATTTTCAATCATCAGCCTATCACAATCAATAAATTATTCTCATCTTATATCTATTTAATAATCATTTAAAAGTTACAAAATTTTCACCTTTCCTTACTGACTTTTAAATATGAATTGTTAACCTATTGCAAACTTCATGACTAGACATCGGATTAACATTTGCATGTTTGCATATGCAAATGCATTTAAATCTATTTTTATAGCGTTATTGCATATTTTGGTAATTTTGCATTGACAGTGCTTATTTCAATAGTTATATGTATAAGGCGTGTTGTATTATGTCCTCGACACGTCCGCCTCGCACACACTCAGCGACCGCACTGAACTAGGGATGGAATAAAATCACAACCACATGCGATAAATCATATTTTTTATAAATCATATCATCACATCTGTGCCTGATTTATAAGTCCACTGCTACTTAACTATGATTATGACGCTAGCGCAAGACTCGCCAAAAGGTCAAAAACTAAGAAAAGAAGTAGTAATTTTGATAAAAAGAATTTTGTTTGACGTTAATGCTTTAATGATCGTTGTGACTAAACCAATCATTTCATCAAATGAATGATTCGAAAGTAGCAATAATTTCCATGTCTACTGAGTACGATCTGCTGGCTCGCAGTGGTCGGCGTATATAATGTATAAATATAAAGTGAAAATAAAATTTAATTCCACCTACTCATAAATGGTTTTTGATTGTGCATATTTTTTGCACATTTCGCCCCGTTTTAGTGCATATTTGCATGCATATATTGGCATTTTGATAGTGCATATAATCCAATGTCTATTCATGACATTTTAAATTTTATATACCTATTTATTTGCTTAAAATATTATGCCATATTACTGTATATGTCAGTCCTCTTTACCTATATCCATACCATTAGGCATAATATTTACATAAGCATTTTAATCAAAATCGCAACAATGTAACGACTGTTAATATTTGTAGTGTTCAAACTTATATACTATATATAAAACATGTCAGCAGATTGCTTTTCAAAAAGAAAAAAAGAATCTTTGGGAATAACGTTTTTGATACAAATAAAAATGACAATTTTCGCTTCTTACGAAACTCGAGTATCATGTCAGTGTGTATTTAAACAATGTTCAAGACCATCTACTGCAATCAAATGCGCAGTAAAACATAATTTTGGATGATCGATGAAAACTTATTATTGAGAATAATAAGTGTTTAGATATGTAACTTATCGTAGAATAACTGGAGAATATAGAATAACTGGGATCAATACATTTAAGTGCTAATTACGTGTTTGTCTTGGGTTTCAATACATGGTAACTAAAAAGCTAGATAGCTATGAAAAGAAGAGTATTTAAAGCTTGATAGTAGTTGGTCGCGGATCCATTTACCTAAACTCTGACATCTATATAACAACTTCTTAATAAGATGTTGGGATACTCGTACAAAAAAGGTTTTGTTATCAAAAGATTTGTTGTGTCTTACTACCAGCTCAAATACTAAACACGTTACGAAATTAAATATGAATGGTCGAGTTCCTCCTAAGCAAGGATCATAGTCCAAGGCAGTGGTAGAGTAAAGGTCCATAGGACCGAAACGCCCATGAGGAATAATTAGAAAGTAGAAGATTAGTACAGATTAGTAGCACAAACTGGAGTTCTAAATAACTAAAGAACAAGAGGAAAAATAGTTCAATTGTTTGATGCAAGATTACAAGTATAATTCTGATGTAGTTTGCGATATTGAGCGTTTTTATGTAAATTCGAGTTTAACTTAATCGCTTAGTCAGACAAAATGTTTTAGTGCATTTTCTCTGGTAGTAATTTGTCAAATTTAATTGAATATGAATGATGTATGCATTCTAAATATACAACAGTTTGAAATGTCCTCGTACATGTAGTACATGCAATAAATATGTAAATGTGACTGTGGGTGGATCCGGAACGTTACACACAAACAACGGACTGAGCACGTCTTAGTGCAGTATCATGCAACTGACCCACGCTCCTTGCATGATTGGTTTTTGCTATTTTGTAAATTATGAGAAACCTTTTTGTTACAAGGTTTTTTTTGCTTATATTTGTAATATACCAAATATATTTCAGAATTATTTTAGTGGAAAAGAAAATGATATATATTTTATTTATAATTTAAAAGGAATCACAAAAAATGCTAAGAGTACGTTTGTAACGACATTGGTACATTAAATTGTGTTTCCCATCACACCAACGGCCTTTAATAGTCCACTGTTAGACATAGGCCTGTTCTTAGAAAGGAGGTTTTGGCCTAATATAAATTGTTTTTATAGGTATGTTATTCATTTTTATTCTGTATGTTCCTTGTAAAATATAGAGCAGGTAAATTCATGATGTAAAACAAAATTTATGCTACCTCTCAGTAAACATATTTACATAGAAATCTGCAAATTATAACTCAGAAAACCTTTTACATAAAAACTGCATCTACTTGAATAAAACTTTACATTATACAATTCTTAGAACATAATTTAAAAAATTAATGCCGCCACACACCGAAAATGAAGCCCTATTTTCATAAAAACAGCCTAGCGACCAGTAATGAAAGCTCAGCGTTAATTGCAGTAAAGAATAAGAAAGGCATGTAAATGAAAGTAAGCTTAATGGTGTATAAAATAAAGTTGAAATTCAAACCTTAGTATCATGTTCTGTGTGGCGTCGCCGCCTCACCTGTTAGTAAGGCCGACCGCGTGTTTGCCGCGCCCGAACCTTACTCGCAGCACGCCTGCAACAATACAAACCTTTGATTAAAATAAATACACGTTGAGGGAAATAGACTCGGAATGGGTGAGCAAAAATATTGTTGAAGAATTTCCTTTGTTCAACGTGTTGAGGCCTAATAAGTATTATAGTACTAGTAATAAGTACTTTATGACTGTTTCTTTTACAATATAGAGAAATGAAAACTGAATGTTGCAATATCAAATGTCATATTTATGTTTAAATAGAAATATTGAAAGTAAACCTGCTAATAATAGAAATAATTAAGCAGTAACTAGAGAACTAATTTAACGTACCATAGCTGCTTTAACTTTTTCTTTTTAAAATATCCCATCCAATTAAAATATAACGAGTATTCAGAAACTAAAGACAATAAACTCACGCTAATTATTGATTGTGTGACGCAAGTTAAGTTTCACTTCGGCTGTGACTGTGAAAAATGGCGAGAGATGTATTATTGTCACTATTTTGTCGCATTCCCTTCATCCTTTGACCTTATGTCTTTATATACCACTTCTATATTATTAATCCTAAAAAAGTATCTCCGATAACACAGCAAAAGGTAAAATATCGCGTAACACACGTGAATATTAGGTACAGTTCAATTGATTGAATTGTGTTTTTTTTTGTGAAATCGGTTAAAAATCAAGTTCGAAACATTTAAGTTCTATTCTATCACTTGCGGTAAGTACTAGTTTACTTTTCAAAGTGTGATGACATGACTTTTATAAATACTTTTTTATTTATGGATTATTCTTCTGAACAATCGATAGGCATATTAGGCTTTAGAGTCTACATGGTATCAGATATGACATAGACATAAAAACAGCATGAGCAGACCACTCACACCCACACAAAGCTACAGATTGTATGCAACATAGTTGTTAATATTACCACAATAATTTACTAAAAAAGCATTTATAGAATTTTTACAACGTAGTAAAACAGGCATAGGAACATACTCCTTTTATAAGATACATGTATGTATGTGACTCGTTAAGTTCGTTTCTTTAGTGGGACTAGTTTAATATGAAGTGATCATTACAAACATTTTCTTTGTTATTTTACATTGTAAGGCTCTTGGACTAGAATTTTTGATGAGCGTGGAAAATTGAAGTGATTTATCAATGGTTTCATTTGCGTTATTTCAAAAACGCTATATATTCCACCTATATCAATATACGAGTATATAAGAAGCTATATTTTTCAGCCCTTTCTAATAATTTTCATGATTAAAACGTGGTTTTGCCTATAAATAAGCCCTTACGTTTCTTCTTTACTCAACAGGAAAATATTGTTGATAAACAAAGCTTGTAGTTAAGATCTATCTTTAGTGTCTTAGTCATACTAGTTAAATATATTAAGGTTAGAGAGAGGTTAGATATTAATTTCTTAACCTTTGTTTTTGATTTTTTGTTGTTGCAAGTAATAGGTAATAGGCGTTCAAGAACTGTTGAATTTATTCTTAAGCTAAGCGTTTGATAACGCTTTCGTTATCGAGATATGCATAAACAAATATTAAAAAGACAAACATACACAATTACTGTTCGTAACCAGTTTTGTAATAACTGAGCCTATACTTTATAAAATATACCAACTGTAGAGTATTTTAAGTCTATTATAATTCTCGAAACGTTGAATTGATGAGATATAGGTATATTTCCCCTTACATTTTATTGCGATTAATGTTTGTCATTCATATTCATGGACACAGTGAGTTTGTCTTTAAATAAATTACCCTGAAATCATATACAAGACGTTAAATCCTATACCTATAACGTATTTCACAATGCTTGGAAGGCGCTAAATAATTATTATGTCACTATTTTGTATGATACAAGTCTAAAAGTCTGGTCATTATTTTATGATTTGTGTTACTGTTTAGTAGGTACAGCTACTAAACATTTCGGCTTAATGAATATTGATTTTTTTAATCAGTATTTATTACGATATTTTAATTTGTAGAATATACGAGTATGTAGAATATAGAATGTACCTATGTGTAATAAAGTTTTATTTTGTCGTCTCTATCCAACGCAGAAGAAAGTTCAATCCCTATAGAAAATACTTTTGTTGAGACTGTAAGAATGCCATTAGTAAAGTAAGTAAATGGCAGTGAATCTACAACCCCACAGTGCTCTAGAAATCTCAGCTATAAATGCCCACAAGAGCTAAATTTATTTTTATCGTTTGTGCCACTTAAGGTATAAGATTGAAAACTGCTGCGATATTTCCCGGTAATTTGCTCAGCTGTTTTTTCTACTGAGCAATAAAATATTTACGGGCCGGGATGAATTCATGAGTGGAACTGAGCGTCCCCAATCCGCTACTTGGACAAATTAATTCATTTTCATGAACAAACATTATTAATATTCAACATTATTCATCTTATAAATATTTTTTGGGGTAAGAGCACGCACTTTTAGTATCTATGTGTATTTTTATACACATTCATGACTTTTTTGCCAATTGTTGCTGAGCTCGAAATATTACTTAGTTTTCTTGGTAGTGTAACCCCTGGATTCCTAACGTAGACTATTCATCATCATCATCAACAGCTTTTAACAGTCCGCTACTGAACGTAGGCCACTCTTTAGATAGGTGGTTTTGGCCTACTATACCACGCTGGGCAGTCGGGTTGGTATAGAGTTTGTGTCAAGTTTTCCTTCTCTTTGCAGTGCTTTTGTCCTGAGAAGTTTGCTTCCTAAGTCGGCTCTTACGAAACCCACGGGATGAGTAGGGATGGTGACACTCCGTATTCTCGGTAAAATGTTATTTTTAAATAAAATTAAATAAATAAAATATCTGACTATCTGTCACATTTGCAGGCTTAAATCAGTTTAATAAATTTTAGTACATTTTGGTAACATATTTATAAAAAGGATTTACGAAAATTTTATATGGTAGACTAATAATTTTTATATTATACGTTAAAAAATGACAAATATTATGTAAAAAAAAAAGAATTTCGGCGCTCACGTTATTCAATGAGTCTGAGGAAGAAAGTCCTGTATAAGCAAACCAGAAATGTATAAACGTTGGATGCGACTTCTATGTGATGAATACTTAAACATATGTGTAAAGTTGTGTAACAGCTTTAGAGTTAATTACGTAAAACAAGAATGTTCAAAAATATAGTGCGTAAAGTAATGAAACATTTTATTTAACATTCTTCTCGCGACAGTGACTCATATAATATTCATGTCGCAATGTATAATGCAAGATATTCCAGTATATAAACAAATACTCTACATAGCAAACAACTGACTCGATGCAAAAAAGTCGAGTGCAATGCACCGAGTAGTTCTAAGAAGTGCAATATCAGGGATCTTTCTGTCCGCGAGCAGTCGTTACGTCGCGGATGCATCGATGCACTTACAGATAGCACTTGGAAGGCGTTCCGCTACTCATTACATTTTGTACATATATACCAGTGAGTACATAATATATCTACTAGTGTACTACAAGTACACATACATGACCAGTAGAAGAAATGAGATGGTTTCAATCAAATCAGTGATTGTTAGTCACTGTGTCCATCTCACGGAAAAGTAGTGTCACATAGTGGAACCAATCTTTTTTGTATAATATTTCTAAAGCCGTAGAAATATTAGATACAAAAAGATTTTAATATCTATAGAATAGTTTTAAACTTCAAATTATGTTTTGTCTCAAAATTTATTTTTACAGTAACTAGCGTCAGCATAATCTATCCATTTTTAACACTATATACCTAATCAAGGTTTTCTTATTTATGTCGCATTGATTTCATGTCGAAGGTTAATTTATGTTAAAACTAAAATAAAAAGGTATGTGTTTAGATGGAGTGACTTTTGTCACGCCAGCCCCTGACACGCTATTATAATTTATATTTTGTGATGAAGAAATTTAAACTTAATTATTCAATTGGTTCCGCTAACTTGCGATTAGTGTTCATCAGATATTCAGCTAAGAGATAGCCGTGTTACTATGATCTCTATTTCACGTTTTTTATCATAAAAAAAGAAACTAATAAACACTAATGACTGCACGAATGGCGTAGTGGTTTAAGCGGTTGTCTCGCCGCTTCTTACTGCGCTGAGTGTTGTGGGTTCTATCGCTGCATGGGACATCACTTTGTGTGATCCACAAATTGTTGTCCCGTTTCATTGTCCGATTTAATGCAATTGAATAGAAATCCGTGAATATACTTTAGCACCATAGTGGTCAAGTAGATCTTTCAAAAGTAATATGTAAAAAGTAGATGGCGATTTTAGCCTCGGCAATAATAACAAAGCTTTTTAGGACTTTGATGATAGCACTTTATGTTTATTAATGCTCAGGATCATATTGCTTTTGATACGACCCGTTACATCTCTCTGATGGGGTGGTCTTAAGATCAGCACAGTTATATAATACATAATTCAACGCAAATAAAAACATGGCGGATATGTGACCTACCTATGCGCATGCAACTGCATCGAGCTTTATGACCTTATCATAATTTAGAGAGGGCGGGCAGATGAATGTGAGCCTTTGTTTCGCCCGGTTTATGCCGAGCTTTATGGTGAGGTCGCTACGCAACGTGACATATAGGTACCTTTTTGTAGCATACATGTTATGGTCAAAGGGTCATTAGGAGTATAATAACAGTTAGCTGTACAGGTACATGTGTATTTAAGTATTTCGCACGATCAGTCGTGAATCTCAGTCACGTTTTTCAAATAGGTACTATTAAAATTAAGGATTTACAGACTGACAGTTTTTAACTGAAGAAAAAATCTAAAACTTTAAAAACGTTTGTAGAATAAAAATAACAATAATGATAATCTTTTTAACACTAAGATAAGATTACATAAGAAGAATGTTGACTGCACGGATGGCGTAGTGGTTTAAGCGGTCGCCATGCCGCTTCCTACTACGCCGAGTGTTGTGGGTTTAAACC